CAGGGAGGATCCCGCTGCCAGCTCCACTCCCTGTAGCTGGGGAGATTTCAAACAAGTGACTCTGCCTGCCAAAACTGCAGTTCCCACACCTATAAATGTGGACCACGCCTGGCCCCTGAGCAGATAGCGATTTCAGGCTCCAGGCCCTGGAGTCCTGTTGTGAAGGTCACAACACAGGATGTCATGACTTCTCCCACGCAGCAAGTACCCACCCGTGCCCCACCCCTCTTACACAGAAAGGATGTGCCAGGCACTGGTCCCAAGGTGAGGGATGTCACCATCTTCCTTACACTGTCGTCTGGGATTCACTCTCCTGCATTCGCAGGCCTATTTCTCAGAAACAGGGTCAGGTGACAGTGCTACAGGTCTCTGTGCTGCTGCTTCAGCAGAGGAAAGAGCCACTGTGCAAAGACACACGTGCATGCGCACACACACACTGAGACAGGACACCGGGGCCGGAGCCAGGCGGAGGTAACTCAGGGGTTGAGATAACTCAGGAGTTGAGGGTGGGGCCGCTCCTAGAGTGGAGCAATGTGCGCCAAGTCAAGATGATGTCACAGAGCTGTCATAGGCCCAGCTGCAACGACACCATCCCCAGGAGCCAGCCCAGAGAGGAGTGGAAGTCAGGCATCTGGCAGACTGAAAGGCTTGGGCCTCAGCCAGGGTTGGGCCTCAGCTGGGTGGCACTGTGTTCCACAGGGGGTCAGCACATGTGAGCTGGGGAACAGGTTTCCCAGCTTTGAAGCAGGAAGGCCATGGCCTGGTTTCCTTTGCAATACAAGGCACGGGTGCACACGCATAAATACACACACGCACGCGTGCATGGAGCCACTGTCAAAGCTCTTGCTGGTGCACACCTGTGGGAGCTGGGGCAGGGGAGGCCTTCCTTCTCCTCCCACCTGCCAGCTCCAAACCAACAGAGGGCCGGTATCAGACAGGGCCCTGAATGAACCTGGGAGCTGCTTCCAAATCCTGAGCTTGCTGCATCTATAGTTTCTATTATTTCAAAGCCCACTGCTGAACCAGGAATTATCTCAACATTTATTTCCCCATGTCCCTAGGTAAAAAAAAAGCATGATGAATCAGCTATGCCTGTCGATGGACCTGGTCACCAGCTACAGGTCTGTGTGGTGTGTACAAGGCCACCAGGCCTCCACAAGTGATGCCAAAGTGACCTGGAAGGTGCCCGGGGTCACTCAGGGATTGACATTCAGCATGGAATGGCAAGGCAGAGAGGAGCTGGGGAGGAAAGGGAAGAGGAGAGCCTGCCCCCACTGTGGGAGCTGGGCCAGGCGCATGCGGGACAGCTCAGCCTGCCCACCCAGGCCTCAGGCAAGATCTGTACTGCAGGAGGGGGTTGGAGTGACCCCTGGCTATGCCTCCCCAGCAAGGTCCACCCACCCACTTGGTGACACTACAGCTTCAGCCTTCTGGGCCTTCATTACTCAAATTCCATCCTCTGACTCTAGACCTACCCAAGAGGCATATTCTCCTCGAGGCCCTCTTCTGCTGCCCTCAGCCAAAGATGACCCCAGGCACGCCATGCACTCATCGGGATACTTCCGGAGGGCCTGGCAGCTGGGTCACCTGGGCCAGTCTGGATGGAGCAGGCTGCTCCACCCCGAGGACCCATTCCTCCATTGGAGCAGGAAGGTCACAGCTTTCTCCCCACCAACAAAGGGGCTATGGCAGGGCTTTGGCCTGCAGGCCCCAATCCATAAGCATCCTGCTGGGTCCCTTTCTAGACTTGAATTATACGTGAGGGACAGGTCCTCTCCCTAGGAGGACATTGCCTCTGGGCATCCTGCTCTTCCAGGAGGCCCAAGCCTGGACCTGAGTTGAGGGTGAAATCTGGCAGGTCTGATTTTGTGTTACAGATCAAGGCTCAGAGAGCCTTCCTGAATCCGAATGTGCTCTGGTCAGAAGTCTGCTGCTCTCTCGGAGCAGCAAACACAGGTGGCACAGGTGCTCATGAGGCTGGGCTTCCTGCAGGCAGCAACCCAGGGCAGGCAGGGAAGCCCGCCTGCCAGAGCCTCCAGAGTGTGGCCCTGAAGCCACACTTTCTTCTGGTCACCAGCCCAGACCTGTTCACCACACCATGGCAATCCTCCTGCCTTAGTTTCCTGAATGATGGGACTAAGGCTTGTGTCACCACATCCAGCTTTTTATTTATTTATTTTTAAATTTAACTTAATTTTTTTTTTTTTTTTGGACAGGGTTTTGCTACACAGTCTAGTCTGGCCTCAACTTGTGAGGCTCCTGCCTCAGCTCCCTAAGTGCTGGAATTACAAACCAGGCCTGGCTGCTTTCCTTTTCAGTTGTGAACAGTTCAGAGAGTAACACAGCTCATCTGCTGGGCTGCCCCAAGTCAACGGACACTGCCTCTTGCCATCTGTGTAACAGGTTTGCCTCTCTCTCTTTTGTCTTTTTTAAACATAAAAGCAAAGGCTGGAGATGCAGTGGTTGGTAAAGCATCTGCCCAGCACATGGTGCAAGGCCCTGGGTTTGACGCCTGGTCTTGCATACAAAAAAAATAAAAAGTGGACATGATAACTACCCTCTCTGTCTTCCCAGGGTACATCTGGAGCCACTGCAGGTCTAGATGCTGGCCGCACTTCTGCGCAGCTCCTAATATCCCGCCCATTTCCCACTGTATACAGACCGCATCTGTCTGAGGTGGGCACTGCGCTGCTGCCTCCCAGGCCCATGCTGGTGTCCTGCACAAGACAGGCAACCAGTGAAGCCAGCACTGTGGGCTGAGTCACACCCACATCACAGCCCTGCATCTGCACCTGACACAGCTACTCCTTCCTGCCCTGCAGTCTCCACCTTGAAATCCACTTTGAAAACCTAAGAGCAAGCCAGAGGAAACCAAAGGGTCCCAGGTGGTCACAACAGATGCAGGAGACTACCAAGAGCCACCCAAGCTGGGGTCTCCGGGCAGAGGGTGATGACCAGGTAGCCGCCTTTCCAACACCAGCCAGGGACCCCAGGCGTCAAGGAAGACAGAGCCCAGAGCCCAGCATGGAGACCTCCCTCCCCGCTAGCACCAAGGCCACCTGGAGCACAGCTGTCACACGTCTGAACCAGGTGAAGGGACGAAGAGCCTTGCGGCCACATCCAGACGGTGTACAGATCTGCTCTGGGGTGAGGAGAGATGGCACGGCTGCCGTGGGGGTCCCCTCCCCAGAGCACAGCCCACCACAATGAGGTCCACCGTGCCTGAAGGATGCTGTCCATGGCAGAGGAAGCCAAGGCCACTGGTCTGACCCCAGCAGAGGCCCAGTCAGGGGTGTAATGACAGGCAAAGCATGAGGCCTCTGGGACGTCACACATGGGGGTGCTGGTCAGACAGGAAGGCTGTACCTGGCTCACGGCCACATACAAGGCAGCGATTAAAAAATACAGTAAACGTTTATATCTAAAAATTTATTATAGTAAAAGACACACAGCCATGAATCACCCTCAAAATATTCCCCCTTTGCTTTAAACACACTCATTGATCTTGCCACTTTCTACAGCAAAGAGTCCTCTTTTCCGAATATCTGTCATGGATTGTGTCTAAATGTCCCACAAAGCCTCATGCAGTCATAGGTGGAGCTTTTTCAGAGGTGGCTGAATCTAGAGTGCAATAGTGCAATGCTAGGATTCAGGGTGCGAGGCTAGGATTAAAGGTGCTAGGATTAAGGATGGGTGATTACTAAATCAGTTCACTGATTGATTTGGCACTGCCCTAATCCCAATAGCCTGTGTGGAATGTAAGGGACAGAAAGAGGCTTGTCTTGCCCTTGCTTGCTTTGCTACCTTCAGCCCACTATGAACTGTTTCTCCTCTGTGATGTCTGTCTGCCACGCCACCCTGCCTTGGAGCCAGCCGACGTGAACTGAAACCTCTGCAGACTATGAGCCAAATAAACCTTTCCTCCCTTAACTTTGGGTGCTGGGTATTTTGTCTCAGCAATGAGGAAAGTAATTAAGACAGTGCCGTTATAAGGTGTGATATAAAATACAATAAACACTACTGCCGAGTCCTATCCAAGGGAAAGGCAGCTCATGAAAACATAACACTGTGTCCTCATCCACTTTATTCACCAGATCTGGCACCATGTGACTTCTGACTCTTCCCAAAGTCAAATGATCATGAAAGGTCAACATTTTCAATCAAATCAGGACATCCAGGCAGCCACAACAGCACAAGCCAGCATCAGGAGAGAGGACTGCAGAGCTGCTGCAGAATGTGGCAACAGTGACGGATAAGTGTGTTCAAAGCAGCAAGGGGGAGGATTTTGAGGGGGATTTATGGCACTGTGTCTTTTAGTGGCAATAAAGTTTAAAAATTTAAACATGCACCTAGTAGCTCTTCCTTGCCCATACTTTTTTGGCAGTGCTAGGAATCGAACCCAGGACCTTGCACATGCTACCTAAGTGCTCCACCACCCAGCCATGCACCCCACCCTTACAGGCATTTTTGAAGCAAAGCAATGAGCAGCTCTGTGGAAGTGCAGCCCTCAAGACTGTGAGGATGAGGCTACCTCCTGCCCAGGCCCACAAGGGAAGCGTAGCCAGACCCTTGCATGTGCTGTACTGGGCAACTTGCAGTGACTCAAGTGCATGCCAGTGTTTAGCGAGTAAGACCAACCCTCTAAAGGAACTACCCGAGGAAAAGAGGCAAAGAGAGCTGAGAAGCAGCCCTGGAGCTGAGTTCAAGCTGTCAAAGGAGGAGGGGAGGCTGAAAGGGCGGCATGGCTGGATGGACAGACACAGCGCTGCTCAGGAAGCGCCGAGCTGGTGGCAAGGTGGACACAAGTCCCATCACCTAAGCAGGGCTTGCCCACGTGAGAGAAGAGGGCCTGACTCTGCAGGTGACACGGAACACAAGGGAAAGGTGCAGCAGGAGGAAAAGCCAGACAGCCAACAAGAGCATGCAGGGAAGGGTGTGGTGTTCGGCTCTGGACAAGGGAGCGGGGCAGACAGCCACTGAGCACCGCACGCAGGCTCGACCTGTGCTTCTCGCCTTCCTCCTCCTCATCTCGGAGCTGCTTGGTCTTTGGCTCCCCATCTTCTTTGTCCTGCGGAGAGGGAGAAAACCACCGCTCAGACAGTCACTCCCACTTCTAGCCCACTCCGCAATGAGCCGATGAGGATAGGACACGCCAGGAGCCACACACTCCAGCACTCCCCATGCTGGTAGACACAGGTCCCAGGCACACGGCAGCCCTCAGAAATGAGCAAGCAGGGCCACGGGGTTTAGGTGGTGGGAAATGGAGCTGGCCAGTGCCACAGGGCCCATGCTGGCAGCCAGCCACCTGCAGGGGCCTGGAGGGAGCGAGGGCAGATGGGGAAGAAGGACCAATGGCCAGCACCCAGGGCTGACACAGCTCAGCCCTCCTGACCTCCCCTCCAGGCCAGAGGCCTCTCCAGAAATACCTGTGCGTGGTAGGCTGGGTGGGTGGAGGACTGAGAAAGGGTCTCTACATACTTCCTTCAGGCTAGCCCTGATCTCACTATGTAGCTCAGGCTGGCCCTCCTGCTTCAGCCTCCTGAGTAGACAGATTATAGGCACACACTGCCATACCTAGACAGAAATGCTATTGAGTTCCCTTTAAGGAACCATGATGCCAGCTAGAGTGGGGACTGTGATGTGCTCTGTGAGACAGAGGAAAAGGGAATTCTTCTGAAGTTTCTATGGGAAAATTTTCTCCCAAATCTATTTCTTATGACTAGTCCCTGCCCCTCCCACTTTTTATTTTTGATGTTTCTTGAGATGGGATCTTGCTATGTTGCCCAGACTAGTTCTTAATTCGTAGGCTCAAGTGATCCTCCTGCCTCAGCCTCCTGCACGGCCGGGACTGCAGGTGTGCCCCATGTCCTTCCATCCTATTTTAGTCTACAGAAGTCCTGTTCATGTCACCCTTGGCATGGTGTGCCTGTTCTCAAGTGCCGAGGCCCACAACAGAAGGACTCTGCTCGCTGCTTCTACCTGCAGCACTGTGTCCCTGGGCCCTCCCGCTTACTGTCTTGCCACTGGGGATCAGTCGGCCCGGCACATGCCCCAGCTGTATGTGTGAGGCTGAGTTTGATGATCGTAGAAGCCAGAGGGGGAGCACAGCCCTAACAAGGAGGCAAGTTAGCGCTCCCCACGTCCTCATGTCCCCACAGGCTGGCCGAGGCATGTACCCTGCCTAAAGGCTCACCCAGCAGAGTAGGGAGGTAGCGAGGGTGCCCCTTCCCCAGAGAGCTTTCTCTGCAGGCTCAGTAGCTGCCAACACCAGGTTCCTTACCAGCCCTGGGCAAGGTCAGATCAGCCAGGCCGCCACCCCCACCTCCCGCCACCCCCACCTCCTGCCACCCCCAACCTCCCGCCACCCCCAGGAGTCCAAGTTACTCATCAACGGATGAGAAAATACTTAAGTATTCAAATGACATTTTAAAAAATCCCCAGCTGCTGGCAGGCAGGGTGCAGCCCCGGCTCTGTGGATGGCGGAGACTAAGAAAGACACCTGCCTAGGTTGCTGAGTGGGCAGAGGCTCAAACAAAAGATACACGGGTGCGGGGGACAGCGCCCCCAGCCTTCCGATTAGGTAGTGACTCTCAGGTAGGACAGTGAGCATCCATGGAAGGACAATCTCTGGGGTGCCGAGCCTGGCCTAGGTTACAAAGCATGACCCCACCAGCTGGACACCCCAGAGCTCAGACCTGGGGGCCCTGGGATCACTCGCCCCACGTCCTCTGTTCAACCTGTGGGCAAACCCGGGAAACAGCTGCCAGGCAAACAAAAACGCAAAGCGCCTGGCCAAAGCCACAGGACCTGTCCACCTGCACTGGCGCAGGTTGGTCAAGCTCCTTCCAGTCTAGGCCCTGCCTTCTTGCCTGTCAAGAGCGGCACCATCTCTAACAAGGGCTCTGATCTCAGCCACCTTCCTGTGCTCCCACGTGAGTCAGATCCGGCCCCAGCCAGCCCAAGCTGCACAGCGGGCAGCACCCTGGGTGCCCAGTGTCCCAGGATCCAAGACACCTGCCCTTCCTGGGACCCTTAACGACCCCCCGTGCCTGCCCTCGCCCCCTTCTAGCCAGTGTTTGCTCTGGAGAACCACGCTGCCTCTGCACTTGCCCCCTTGCTCCACGCGCTCCTTCCCACCCCCGCAACCCCCCCGCTCCCCACCCCCACACCCCGACAGCACTGCTTGCCATTCCTCTTCACATCAAGGTCTTCAGCAGTGCCTGTGTCTCCTGGGGCACCTCGGGGCCATCCTGGAGCCAGGACTATCCCACCCTGACCCCTCACCAATCATCTCTTCTCTCTACCAGCTCCTGCCCTGCAGAGCCTGCAGGAAGGAGGAGCCTCTGTGTGGGACCGCAGGGGTCGCATGAACTGCTCTGGCCCAACAAAGCCTGACTGAACTGCTTTCTAATGTCTGAAATGCTTTTAGCAGAGACAACACTTTTGCAAATAAAATTAGAAGCTGGACGGTGGTGCACGCCTATAATTCTACTACTCGGGGAGGCTCAGGCAGGAGGATCACAGGTTCAAGCCTTGCCTATGCAACTCTGTAAGACACTGCATCAAAACAAGAAAAGAAAGAAGAAAATAAAGAAGATTTGGCCAGGCATGGCGATGCATGCCTGCAACCCCAGCATTTGAGAGGCTGAGGCAGAAGGACTGCTGCAAGTTTGAGGCCAGCTTGGGCTTCAAAGTGAGTTCAAGGCCAGCTTGGGCTTCAAAGTGAGTTCAAGGCCAGCTTGAATTGGCTAGTGAAACCCTGTCTCAAAAAGACAAAAACAATTAAAAAAAGAAGATCTGGAACATAGCTCAGGGCTGGGGTAGGAGGATTTTAGATGCAGGTGTGGGCACATACCTATAGTTCCAGCATGGATAGGCTGAGGCAAGATGTTTGTTTGAACCCAAGAGTTTCAGGCCAGCCTGGGCAACATAGTCAGATCTCATCTCTAAAAGTCAATAAAATAAAATAATAGAGTTGTTAGGCTGGGGGTACACCTCAGTGGTGCTGGCATGCGTAGGATATGCAAGACCCCAGTTAAAGCCTCAGAGCCCCAAAATAAATAAAATCATAGTTTTCTGTTTCCTCATGAGTCAGTGTTGTTAATACTGCCTTTCAAGGACTGCCCATCTATCACCCGCCACTGAGTTCACTGGCATGAAATGGCTTACACAACATTCCCTTACACAGACAATTGAGACAGACTCTCACTAAGTTGCTAAATTGCCCCAGCTGGGCTCAAACTTGCAATCCTCCTGCCTCAGTCTTCCAGACTGCAGGGAAGACAAATGTGCAGGTTCCTTATTATCCTTTTAATGCCTGTGAGACCTATGATGATGTCAGCGCTCTGGCTGAGGTGGACCTCCTCCATCTCCTCAGACGTGTGATGATGGGCTTGCTCCTCAGCTCCCATTCTAAAGGAGGCTTCACTCGCTGACCACCAGCTGCAGGGACAGAAGAGCAGGGCAGCATGGAGCCTCACTGTGGCCCAGAGGCAGGGCCACTGTCACCAGCGCAGTTACCAACAGCCAGGCAGCCAGGAGGGTGGCGGGGGAAAGTGAATGCGGTGTCTTTTCCCGCTGCCCTTCCCACCAGCTCTCAGAAAGGTCCTCCTTCTCCTGCAGCCCCCGCCCTGTGCTATGCTGGCTCTGCCTCAGGTGCAGGGACACAGAAAGCACGCGCCCCACCCTCAAGGACTCCAGTGCACCCAAAGGAGCAGATGCAGACAGTGTTGCTCTGGGCCCTGAGTGTTCTACACCCCTGGGATGTGGCAAGGGTGGGGCTTCAGGGAACAGGCAACTGTTATGATCTGTGTCTGGATGCCCCCCTAAAGCCTCACCAAGTTATGGGGCGGGCTTCTAGAGTTTATGTTTGATTCATCGGCGTGAGTGCTACACTGCCCTGGGGAGGGTAGTTTGCACACAGTAGGAGGGAGGGAGGCTTGCTCTTACTACCATCCGGAGCCACGAACTGTTGCCCTCTGCCATGTGCTACTCTGCCTTGGAGCCAGTCGAGTAAGGACCGAAACCTCCACAAACTGTGAGCTAAATAAACCTTTCCTTCCTTCATTTTGGGTGTCAGGTATTTTGTCTCAGCAATGAGAGAAAAGTAACCAAGACAGCAACCCTCCAGCCCAATCCTCGGTGTCCAACGGAGGAACGGGTGGCTACCGCAGGAGGCAGAATCCTGCAAGGGAGAACTGCAAAGACCCACACAGCCGGCCAGGATGACTGGGGTCCAGGATGACCACGGCAGGGAGGGGTGCAGGCGGGAACGGCTCAGGAACCCAGGTCTATCTGGCTATCTGCTTAAGGTTACTGTCCTCAGGGGCACGGGCACGAGGGAGGGCTGCTTACCCATGGCTCAGGTTTTAGGAGCTGCTGCCCGGGGCTCTCCCTTCCTGAAGCGGGCAGGGAGCTGTGACCAGTCAGCAGAGCCACATCTCTCCCAGGCTTAGCCCACTCCTAAGCTAGCCAGGACACAACGGAGCTCAGGTGCAGAACAAGTCCTGACACCCAGATGGACATACAGGCTGCTGAGAGGGCTGCTGACATTTCCGTGGGAATCAGCCCTTTGCACAACAATCATGAAAAAACAAGGAAGCAGCATGTGGTGGCGCCTACCTGTAATCCAGCTGCTCAGGAGGCTGAGACCCGAGGATCAAAGGTTTGAGGCCAGCCTGAGCAACTTTGCAAGACCCTGTCTCAAAACAAAAAATAAAAAGGGCCAAGGATGTAACTCAGTGGTGGAGTGCTCTTGGATTCATTCCCAGTATTCAAACAGAAACAGAGAGACAGAGATAGAGGAAAGGCCTCAAACCCTCATCTTCCAAGAAGAGGTGGAAGTTTGAGCCTTTCCAGTTCTAACTTGAGCCCAGGGTGAGGGAAAATCAGAGACAGAGAGATGGGCACCCATAACGCCTGAAGAAGGGCAGGTTCCACAACTTCTGGGGTGCTGGGGTACCGTGATGTTCTCTATGGGTACACTGGGAGCTGAGTCCCAAGGGCACCTGGGTAGTAGGGCAGCCACAGGAGCCTGACTCAACCCAGAGATGGGAAGATAAGCTGTGGGGTGACCGTCACCTCGTCCCTGGCTAGACACGGCAGTTCCCTCTGCCAGATTGAGCTGGGCTCAGGGCTCTCCCGAGCCTGCTCTGAGCCCCTGCGAGAGTTCCTGGGGCACTGCTGTCTCACCCTCCGCACCTACACGCTTGAATCGGCCTACAAGCAGCCTAGGATGGGAAGTTTGGCTGTTTTGTTCCGGCTGTGGCCTTGGGCAGGTTACACCACCTGCCCCACCTCAATTTCCTCATCAATGAGAACAAGGACAGTCACATGGACAAAACAGCCCTATTATAAGAGGAAGCAAAAAACCCATAGGCTGGGTGAACGGCCGGAGGGACAGGAGAACTGGGCCCCACCAGGAAGGCAAGGGCTGCAGAGAAAGCAGCAGGGCCACAGCACAAGTCGCCTGGCTCAGGGAGCCCACAGAGCAGTGTCACAAGCACTGGAGACGCTTCAGGCAGGGTGTGCAAGGGATCTGGGTCTGCTGACCTCTCCCCTTAAAGGCTGGGCTAGAGGCAGGCTCAGACGGTGGGGCAGGGAGGCCAGGGACCACCAAGCTTGAGGCTGAGACCAGCTAAGAGCCTCCACTCTGCAGGCACAGCCATTCCCAAGGGACTATGACAGAGAAAAACAGAAGTGCCCAGCTAGGAAAATGGAGATAAGGACTGCAGATAAGAGGCGGAACTAGGTCAGGCCGTGGGGAGACAGGGAGGAGCCAGAGACACTTGGAAAACCCAGGCGCCTCTGAGAAGGGAGGCGGGACTAAGAGACAGAGAGGGGCGCAGCGTTCCTGAGGCAGGCTAGGGTGGGCCTGGGCAGGCAGAGGCAGCGAGGCCGGCCGGCGCCTGTCGAGGGATCCTCGTAAAAGCGCACTGTCCACTCCCTATGGCCCAGGCCCCAGGGCCACAGATGTCCTGCTGCAGGAGTGTGGGAGCTGGCCCCAGGCCTGGTCCTAGTCTTTCCACAAGTCTCCCGGGAAACCGGCCTAGCGCTGGGTAAGGAGTTATCTTTGTTAGTCCACAAATATTGACTGGCTGGCCGCAGAATAGGGTGCAGATTCTGGCCTTGGTGCCCAGGAGAGCCTGGGGTGGGTGGTACCAGGTGAAGAGGTGCGGCGTGGAGGAGTAAGAATCTGAGCTCTTCAGACTGCTGAGAGCAGCAGCCAGGGGGCAAAGGGACAGAGAAGCCGGCAGGCAGGAGGGTGCGGCAGGGCGGGGCTCCTGCAACTCTTTTTCCCCAAAGTACTGGGGTTGGGAATTAAACCCAGGAAGCAGGTGGGACTACCTCCCCTCCCCTTAGTTTTCAATTCTGAGCTAGAGCCTCGGGGGTCTTGTGAAGTTGCCCAGGCTGGGCTGGAACCTGGAAATGCGACACAGTGGAGAAGCATGGACCCCTCTCACCTCTACCAGCCCCAACAGGAAATAACCCCCTCGAAGTCCTGTGGAGAGCAAGGCAGACCATCTCCCTCACTCCTGCACAAGTGGCGGACCTGCACCGGTGCCTCGGCACAGCCAGGCCAAAAGAGGCTCCCACCCCGCCTCACTGCCGGAGGCAGGCCAGGCCAGGCCTTCCTCGTGAGGCCCACGCTCACCTGTGTCCTCCCCTGCTAATGTGGGCTGAGGAATAAGTAAAGTCACCAAGACCCCAGCTGATGGCCTCTGGGAAACAGCCTGGCACCCTGGGGTGTCCCAAGCCCATGGCTCCATTCCTCCTTGGGGCCATGTTCTTACTCCCTACTCTCATCCTGTTCAAGAAGCCCCAAGAGAGCAGGCAGCTGAGTTCCAGGAGCCACAAGAGAGTAACAAGTGCCCGCCCCAAAACTGCATCCACGGGGATCTGGGTCCACGCAGATCTGGAAGGCCTGTCACTGTCAAACCAACCAGCCAGAAATGGGCCCCGAACGCCTGCACAGAAAAACGCTCAGGTGAATGGGACATGTTATCTTTTCTCAGTAATGCTTTTTAGGGCTACTTTTAATCTTTAAAAACAAGGCCCAAACGGAACTAACCTAAGTGCCCATCAACGGGTGAGGAATAAAGAAAACATGGAGTGTGGCACACACCTATGCACGTTCACACATGCGCCTCACACTCACGCATGCACCTCACACCCACATGCGCTCACATCCATGCATGCTCACACCCACACACACAGGCACATGGAATACTATTTTCTCCGGGAAAGGAGGGAGTCCCTGTCACTTCAAACAGGACAGATGAAGCCAGGTGTGGTGGCACATACCTATAATCCCAGCATTCAGGAGGCTGAGGCAGGATTGCCATGAGTTCAAAGCCAGCCTGGGCTACACTGTCAGTTTAGGGTCAGCCTAAACTGTATAGCGAGACCCTGTCTCAAACAAACAAACAATCAAACAAACAAACAAACAGGACAGATGAGCTGGAGGAGGGGATGCAAAGTGAGAGAAGCCAAGTACAGAGAGACACTGCCTGAAGGACCTCACCTACGTGTGGAATCTAAAGAAGGCAAACTCAGAAGCAGACAGGGCAAGCAGACTCAAGGGAGGTGAGTGGGGGAAGGGGAGATGTGGATCAAAAGGTAGAAAGCTCCCGGCACACTGGAAGAGTGACTTTAGAGATCTACTCCACAGCATGGTGACCACATGGGGCAGTGAATAATGTGCTATATATTTCAAAACTGCTAAAAAAAAACAGATTTTACAAGTTTATATTTCAAAACAACGGTAAGTCAGGAACTGATTGATGTGTGAATTAGCTTGACAGGCCAGGTGTTAAATTTTTCTATAATCGGTACATATATCAAAATACCACACTGTACCCCATAATTATATACAATTATTATTTGAATTACCAGTAAAAAATTTAAAAAGGCTCAGTCAGATGTGGTGCACATGTGTAATCCCAGCTACACAGGAGCCCGAAGCAAGAGGACCGTAAGTTTAAGATTAACATGGGCAACTTACTAAGTCCCTGTCTCCAAAAGAAAAATAAAAGGCCTGGGGTGCAGTCAGGGGTACAGCACCCCTGGGTTTAATCTTTAGGTCTGAAAAAAAAAGCTGAAAGTAAGAACGAGTCCCTTGAGCTAGGGCTGTCGCTCAAAGGCAGAGTGCTGCCCAGGGTGAGCGGCAGGCTGGAAAACAGGCCCCACATCCAGAAGGTTTCGCCACAGAATCGTTCATTTCTAAACCATCTAGAAACTCCCCTGGGTGGCTGGATTGGCTACAGCACTTTCAGCAGCATGGTGTTCTTCCCAGGCCATCTGACGATATCCACCCCAGATACCTGATTCTGTCTGGATGTGCATGAGACTATGCCACCTGTCTCATCCAGACTGGACGCTCTGAGAGGCCTGCCCTCCATGGCACCCCAGCTCCTGGGCCCCCGTGGCTGGGCCGATACAAAGTGAATGACAGTGGGGAGGCAGAAGACTCACGCTACCCGCCAGCTCACGAGCTGGGGCCTCTCCTCCACTCCACCATCCAAGCCTCCTGCAGGGTCCGTGCACGACGTTCACCGAGTGCAGGTTGTGGCACAGACACGCCGAGACTCAGAGCTGCGCACATCATGCCACACGCTTCCCTTCAGGCAGAGCTCAGGACAGTGGGGACAGAGATAACCAGAAGCCCCATCCCTTGCTGTCACATGGTCATTTCCACCGCCATGTCTGCTCATTTACCCCTTGGTGATCTATTCCCTCCCTTCTAAGAACCCTACTTCTGTCTTGCAAAATTTGCCCTGCCGCTTCTTGGGGGTGCAGCAGGATAAAATTTAACTAGGTTCCATTAAATGAGAAGAGGGATGCTGGGGAGGACTGGACCCAAATGTTCTTCATTTCTGTTCTACTATATTTCCTACAATAACAGCTGTTATTTTCATTAAATGTTAAAAGCACGCCAAACAACTGATTCTTCATTTAGTTGGGTAATGTTGATATTACTGAACATAATCAATATTATTCCATTAATCACTGTAAAACTTGAGTAAGGTTAGCATTCCTTTCTGTTCTCACAGAAAGGAAAAATGCAGGCCATCAGTTAAGAAGTCATGAGGAGCCACAGAGCCTGAGCTTGCCAGGACTCCCCGCGGGGTGGCCTTCAAGCTTTGGCTGCTCCTCTCTGGAACCCCCACTCCTTTGCTCCCACCTCCTGCCCCACCTGGTGCCTCCACACAACACCAGGGTTGACAGCTAGCTCTTCCTGGTGTCATTTCAGAGCGAGGCTCCAACCAGTAAGAGGCCCAGAACAGTGACTCCGGTCATGGAAAGCACCACGGGCCACAGGAGAGCGATGCGTGCAGCAGTGTAGCGAACTCTGGTTCCCATCCAGGGAGACCTGGACTCACAGACGCGTCCACTCCACCGGGCACAGGTGGGCAGGCCAGCTGCTCATGCCAAGGGCCGCAGGGTCAATGCAGACAGCAGCCTGACAGCAGCATGGGCACACACACACAGGAACACAAGGGCAGAAAGTCCACACACCAAAGCCATGCCAGAACCACGGCTGTGACCGTGGCAATGCCATGTGTACAGTCAGCCCAAGACTTCACAGGCTCAAATGACACCATTCTGTTGTCAAAATGATTCAATAATAAACACAAGAAACCAGAAGAACCCGTCCTGTGGCTTGCTGTGTTGACCGTACTCAAACCCTAAACAGAGTCTCCAGGCCACCCGGCTCGATGAGAGGACAGGAAGCCAAGGCTGGTGCTCAGGTCAGTGTCTACTGACCATTCTCAGCAAACAGACCAGTGCTGCTGGAGGACAAGACGAAGATGGTCTGAAGCTGTGTGTTCTGGTGACCCCTGCAGCCTGGCGCTGCACAGAGACCAGGTCACCACATCAGGACCAACAGCTCCAGCACTTGAGGCTAAAACTGCAGTGAAGAAAGAGACCAACGGTAGCCAGGGACGATGATGCACACCTGCAATCTCAGCACTCAGAAGGTGAGGCAGGAGATGGGGAATTCCAGGCCAGCCTGGGCCACATAGTGGGACAGAAGGGAAAGAGAAGGAGGATGGGAAGGAGTGGAGGAAGGGAAAGAGAGAGGGAGGGAGAGGGGAAAAGAGAAGAAATGAACCAGTGCTGGGCTGAGAATGTAGCTCAGTGGCAGAGCCGCCCCTTTCCACCCTCTCACCCTGGCCCTCTTCTGGGAGGAGAAAGCTGCCTCTGCCACAAAGCAGAACTCACGACCACCAGCACTTCCTTCCTACCAGGCTCCCATGGCGCAGGAACGAGCAGACCACAAGGCCCGGAGCAAGGCCAGCGCAGCTGGGGCCTCCTCCGTTGCCTCACAGAGGACAGCTGGGGCCACCAGGCACATGGCAGAGGGCAGCAGGGCAGTTCTGGGGACCAAAGCAGCCATCCCGTCTCTGTTCCTGAGGACATCGGGCTGGCGCCTGGCCTGAGGAGCACACAGGCTGCACTCTTCCCCATGAGCACCTGCTGGTAACCAGGACATGGGACAGGGTAGCATCTGTCTACATTCACCATCCCAGGATGAGGTACAAACCAATAGCGAGGGCTGAACACCTCAGCGAGGGGCCCTGCAGATGATACCCCTCTGCCTCACATGTGCACCCTTGCCATATGTACCCGTGTACACCCGTTCTGGGGTCCCCAACAATTCCCTGATAGCTGCCAACAGCCAGCCCTCGTGTCTGGCAAGCAAGGCACCAACCCCAACAGCTCCCATGGCCTTCTCCCATGACAGAAGCACCCCTGAAGAGAGGTGGGCCAACGGATATACAGGAAGGGAACAAGTTACTGGAAGGAGAGGTATTTCCCAGCCACACCACGTCCTGCCTCCTGGCACCTGCATCATCCCCGGCTTCTTCAAAGCCTGGGTCCAACTGAGATGCCCAGGTCTCTCCTGTGTGTGTGGACAGTGGTCAAAGCACCCCAAGATCACGTCTGAGCACCAGATGTGAACACCTAACCATGCCATGTGTACAGTCTCCGTCTGTGAGTCCAGGTCTCCCTGGATGGGAACCAGAGTTCGCTACACTGCTGCACGCATCGCTCTCCTGTGGCCCGTGGTGCTTTCCATGACCGGAGTCACTGTTCTGGGCCTCTTACTGGTTGGAGCCTCGCTCTGAAATGACACCAGGAAGAGCTAGCTGTCAACCCTGGTGTTGTGTGGAGGCACCAGGTGGGGCAGGAGGTGGGAGCAAAGGAGTGGGGGTTCCAGAGAGGAGCAGCCAAAGCTTGAAGGCCACCCTTCACAATCCCTCCCCAAAGTTCCTGTTTCTGATATCGCTGCAGCCTACAGACTTTCAGATAAGCCCCCAAACTTGTCCCAAAAGCTAAGAATGCCTTCCCCTGAGAAAAACCACAGTCCAGTCAGCTCCCAAGTCCACGTGCCTAACTGGTACCTTCTGAGCTTTGTCGTCTGGCAGGCAGAATGGTGACGAGCCTGCTGCCACAGGAGGAGTAGAGGGGGAGGGCTCAGGGGAAGGGCACAGAGAAGGGACATCACCACAGGTGCCTGGGGTGGCGGGACCCGAGGAGAAGATGGCGCCTGTGCAGCCTGGAGCACCCTGGAAGTATCTAAGCCACGTGGGCAGCGAGGGGTGCTGAGGTCCCTGGGAGGAACAGGGACAACAAGGCTGAGGCCTGTGTCCAGGCAGAGAGCAAGGGGACACCCAAGGGCACCGGTGCAGTGGGAGGGCACTGAGCAGCCAGCGAAGGCCGGATGCAGTTGGATACAGCACAAGTCAGGGAGGTGGCAACAGCTGACTGGAGTGCTATTTATAAACAGCACTCATCGGGGGCCAGAAAGGAAAAGGCAAAGGTGAATGGTTAGGCCACTGAAAGAACAAGCCGGATGTGGCACAGGCCACCTTCGAAGCCCAAGAACAGCAGAGGGCAGCCCCTCCCAGCTGCACAGCACAGGGAGCTCTGCTTACAGTTCTCTCACTGACAGCTACTGGGGTAAAGTGGTATCACCCATTCAGACAACCAGGCTTGGCACAGCTAGGGGCTCAGCCACGGCTCACAGCACACAGAAGCCACGCAGGTCAGGTGTCCACAAGAGGCTTCCCGACTGCGTCATGCTTCCAAAATGCTTCCTGAAAAACAGCACCCAGCTCAGGTGTGCTTTCTGCACAACAGCCAGAGGAGCGTGCCCATCTCTTCTCAGGGCTGCCGAGGAAGAAGAAGAGCACAAGCTGGGGGCGCTGCAAAGGCCCCAGATGGCATCTGGTATAGAGTAAGCTAGGTCCACCAGTCAGAGAACGAGTTATAAACAGCACCAAGCAAAGGAGAATCTGCTCACAGCTCTAGCACACGGTGCAGATGGGGAGCCCAAGTAGGAGCACATCCTCCTCAAGGGGCTAAGCTGGGGAGTGGGGACTCAGAGGAGGAAGTGCTCAACTGCCCAAGGGCCAATCTGGTCATGGGAGTGGGCTCTAGACACAAACAAGACTGAAGAAGAACAAACAGAAGCTAAGTGTGGTGCCACAGGCCTGTAATCCCAGCACTCTGGGAGACCGAGGCAGGAGGACTGCACGTTAGAGCCCAGCATGGGCAATTCAGTGACTTAGCAAGAGCCTGCCTCAAAATTAAGAAATTTTTAGAAAGGGCTGAGGATGTACCAGTCTGTGAAGGGCTTGGCTTGAATCCCCAGTACCCCACCCCCAGTCAAAAGAAGAAATAGAGGAAAAAAACATTCATATAACACAGACACGCCAAGTGTCCTAAGGGCCACAAGAGATCTAAGCAGTGTGGGGCAAGAGAACGGCAGAAGCTGGGCGCAGACCTCAGGTCTCTGGACTCAAGTTGATAGCTCATACACTCTCTCTCTCCCTCAACAAACCAGTGTATATAACATCTGGTTTTTTCCTAAAACCAGCCAGAGTGGATTTCTGTTGCTTATAGCTGAATGCCTTGGGCACACAGAGCCATCGACAGCAGTAGCCTCATAGCAAAGTAGGGTCAGAGCACCCTCCTTCCACATCCTGTCTGACTGTAGGAGACCCTGGCATGCAGACAGGGCAAAGATTCCGATGCCTGCTTTGCAAATGGAAAAGCCAGAGTGGGGCTGGAGGTAAGCATTCTGTGAGGTGGGCCCCGCATCTCCCTAAGTCTCCTGACCACCCCAAAGGCCAGCAGCTGAGACATCAGGCCAAGGCTCTCACCTCGTCTGAGGGTCACCTTCCCATTCCTTCTATCTCACCATGGAGCTGAGCGTGAAATGTCCTGGACCCCAACCTCGCACCCATGTTTAGAAAGCCAAATTCTTCACAAGTCAATTTCCAGGCAAGTCAGAGGTTTACCAAGGAACAGATGTGCTGAAGCTCCAGGGAGACAAGAAGCTATTTTAACCTCGAATGAGCTGCTGTTCAGACTGTCACAGTCTGCAAGGGAAAGCAAGATGCTGTGTCTAGTGTGATCTACAAGGGATAAGATGCTAATGAGAACCAATGCGAGATACAAGTCAGGACCGGCACATTTATTTGTAGAGGGAGACAGTGCGCCAGCAAGCTCTGACGATCCTCACCTACACCACTTCCTGGGAAAGTGTTTCTTTTTGACTCATGCTCCCAGCTGAAAGGCTCACACGGCTGAGCCATCAGGGGTCAAGTCTGGCTCTGCCAAGTGCCTGCCGTTGGACCCTGGGCGCTCTCTGGTTTCTCTGAGGCAAGTGCGTGACTCCACCTCCAGGGGGCACAGAGCAAGGTCTCCATCAGCACCAACCATGTGACAATGACAAAGGCTGGCACTTGTGTGTCTTCAGGATGATGCCATCTCACTGCCCAAAAGGGTCACATGGCACCTGCACCACGCACACTTCACCACTGTGCTACACGCTGCACCATGTGCCCGGAGGAGACCTCGCCCTTGCACCCTTGTCCACCTGCATGCAGAGGACCTGAGTTCTATCAGAGGCGGCTAGTCAGCGTGCAGGGGCTGGGGACAGGGCAGAGTTCAGGCCCCTTCTCCCCTCTGGCTCTGCTCCTGGTCCCTTCCTCACCCTGGCCCCACTCCGCCCCTCACAGGCTTTCCAGCACCATGGCTGGATCAGGTTCTGGGAGGATGTGGCCCAGGGAACCAAGCCTAGCAGGGACCAAGATCCATCAGCCAAACCCAGAAGAGAAGCAGGGTACCTGAATCCACACGAGGCTCAAAGTTTCCACCTCCAAGGTAGGCGCAGTGGCACACACTGCTAATCCCAGCACTCTGGGAGGCTGAGACAGGAGGATTCCAAGTTTAAGCCCAACCAGGGCTACTTGGCCAGGCTCTGTCTCAAAAAGTGTTTTAAAAAAGGTCTGGGGATGTAGCTCAGTGTGAGGCCCTCAGTTCAATCTCCAGTACTTCCCCCGCCAAAAAAAACCCCAAAAACAAACAGCATCCACCTCCAGGCAGATGCTGCAAGCCTCAAGCCATCAAGCAGTATGCTGTACTGTAACAGCCTCCCTGGGGCCAGCCTCACCTCACTGTCCTCACTCTCACCCTTGCTCCCCACAGGACCAGCAGTTTGCACTGGCTCTCACTCCCAGAGCAGAAGGCACCTGCCTAGGTCAGGACTCCAGAATTCAAATGACTGCAAGAATGCACCAGGGCCAGCACCACAACAGCAGAGGGCGGGGGCTGTCCTTGAAAGGGCAAAGGAAAGTGCACTTTCTCCAGACAGAGCCACACTTTATAGCTCTTTACAGCCTGAATCAAAACAGCCCTGGAGCCTGGAGCATGGCTCTTACTCCCCACAGACGCCATCTCCACAGCAACTACTTTTCCCCTGGAGCACTTTCAAGAGCAGAGCGCTGTCTCTGCTGCAGCCAGGTCAAGGCCTGAGCCCTGGCTGGCTTCACACCAGGCTCCACTCCACCGGGAAGGGTGGGGGTGGTGCCCGCGGGTGCCGAGGAGTGGGGGGCACAGCGTGGGTAATGAGCTGGAAGGTGTATGTGGGATACAGGAGTGGGGTGTGCATGGCAATGCAGGTTGGGAAGCCAGGGTGCAGGGTGTACACCGGAGGTGTGGGTAGGGTCCTTCTACAGCCCAAACTGAGTGGGGAGGGGCACACAACTTCCCTAGAAACAATGAATTAAGGACTTGCATGTCAACTCCGCATTGAAATTCTTAGGGCTTGAACCACAGCTCAGCCGCATCCCAGTCCAGTCCAAATGTCGGCGCTATCATGTTCCTGTCTCAGCCGCCCAGTCTGGTGACTTAAACAACGCTATTATATGTTGTGGCTGGTGTTACCAAGGCCTCCCTGAGGAGGGACAGGAAACTGGAAAGCTAAGGAACCTTAAAAGCCAAGAACTGTTTAAAACATACCGTGCCAGTTTGAAACACCGACTCAGAAGCAGCTGTCTCAGGGCAACCCAGATTTCTAGCAAGAATACCCATCAGTCCAGAGTTCGGACTCGTCTGGATGACAAAGCACAAGGCAGCCCATGCCTGGTCCAGCTAGTCCTTGTCCTTCCCGAGGGACTAGGGTTAGTCCTTCCTCCACTGCACTCAGGAGGCTAAGGCAGGAAGATCACCACAAGTTCAAGGGCAGCATGGGATACATAGTGAGTTCAGGACCAGCCTGAGCTACATAGCGAGATCCTGTCTCAATAAAAAAAAAACAAATCCTGGAAACCAGCTGGGATGCAGCTCAGTCATAAATCACCTGCCTAGCATGCAAGAGGTCCTAGTTCAATCTTCAGCATCCCCGCACTAAAAATAAATTCCTAGAAATCAACAGGAAGTCACAAGCAACCCAATAAAAAAGGGGAGGGGCAAAAGACTTGATGAGGCATGTCACAGAAATTATGAAAAGATGTTCATAACTTCACTGCTGAGAAGATACATGCGAGTTTAACCACACAGGGATGGGGCAGTGTGGCTGAAGGGAGAGTTGAACCCGACCATGTTCTGGAGAGGCAGCCTCACGCACTGCTGCAGAACATGAAATGATACTGAAGTTCCGGGAAAGTGACTAGGGCAGGATCTACCCTAGTGACAGTCACCCTGTGACCTGGCAATTCCACTCCTTGGCATCTACCTTGCAGCTATGGAGTGCACGTTTACTGATCTGCACATATAGAAAACTGGAGAGAGAGCCCTGCCTGCAGGTCCGTAGAACGCTGCCATGCTGAGACTGAGCTACACCACCCAAGGCCCCAGAAATGACGACGGAGGAAAGAGGCTAGACGAAAAACAAGGTGTAAAGCAGGATTCCATTTGCACATGGTTCCGCGGGGGTGGTGGAAGCTCAGAGAGGCTCCCTCTGGGAGAGAACAACAGGAGGGACTGTGGGACGCGGAAGTGTTTGCGTCTTCATCTGTGTGACTGACTCCAGGGACACGTTCGCTTTGGGCACCCTACTGGGCTGATCTGTGTATACCATGTACAGTGTACGTCAATTTAAATGCCACCTCAAGCCAGGGCTGGTGGTACACACCTGGAATCCCACCACTCAGGAGGCTGAGGGACTATGGGTTCAGGACAGTCTGGGCTACATAGTAAATTAAAAGGCTAATCTGGACTAAGGAGCTAAGCCTCGTCTCAATTTAAAAGACAAAAAGAAAAGAAAGGAAGCCACTTCAGACTGTTATAAATGGCCAGTAATCCCAGCACTCAGGAGGTTAAGACACATTGCCCAGAGTCTGAGGCCAGCCTAAAATACATAGCAAGACCCTGTCTCAAAAAAACAAAAAACAAAACCAAGCACTAAAAACCTAAACCCACTTAGACACTAAGATTAGAACCATTAAAATTTAAAGTGAGAACTAACGCAGTCTACAGGACTGTAAGACAAAGGCTTTCCAAAGAGAAGACTCACACAGAGGTCCCTAAGCACACCCACCAGAAAGTTGCCTGGACATGCGCCCTGCCCCCCCACAATGGGAGGATTCACCAGAAAGGTCACACAAACTCTCTTGCCAAAGCTAAGGGGAAAGACTAGAACATGCCTGAATGTCAAGGTTTCTCTGCTTCTATTTCCCTGTCCCTAACCAGCAAGGCCACGGAAGACCAGTTAAAACCTTGAAGTCACCAAAGGGGACTCTACACTGGCGGGAACTCGGTTCCCGTGTAGAGCGAAGGGCCTTGTCCTAGGCTGTCTACCACTACTTCTGCTATTCAGCAGGCACCATGTGAAGGACCTAGAGCAGCCCTGAGCTGCTCCAGTGGGTGCTCAGCCTCCCAGGGGCCACTGGCTCTTCCCAGCCCACCAGGCCAAGTTAAAGGAGGGGAGGGGTTCTCCTGCCTGCTGCCTTTTGCAGAGCCAGTCCCACCCCTGGGAGGAGTGCCCAGAAACCAGCCACACAGCCAGGAGCAAGGCTCCCCAGGGCAGCTCAGGGGACAGGACTAGGTCCTGTGTAACTTGTACCATCCATGCCTCTCTGGGTCTCAGCTGCTGCATCTCTCACCAGGACTAAAGCCAGAGCACAGCAGACAGCAGAAAGAGCAGTGCGCCTTGAATTAGCACCTGCCCATCTCCCGACTCCCACGCTGCATGCCTACAGAGGGGGTCCTGGGCCATCTTCCAGCTGAGGAAGTGACTTGACTCTCTTCCGGCCCAGGGTAGCGAAGGTAAAGGCAAACTGTCCAGGCAACCTACAGTGCAGGGAGCCGTGAGCAAACCCCCCGCCTGAGTGGAGCACAGCCCAGGGGTACCCACCTGGAGGCAAGGGGAGACCACAGCCCTGAACATCTCGGGTGAGCCCAGGTGATGGACAGGAGGGCTGGGCAGGCCAGAGCCGGCTCAAGGGCACTGCTCCCACAGTGCAGCCTCTCTAGGAGGACCAGCAGGTCTCACAGGCGGCAGCTAGGGAGGCCTCAGCAGAGGACAGGAGCGCAAGGCACAGCAGGGCCCCCTCAGGGTCGCCCCCCTCCTCTGAAACAGCAAAACCAAGCTTGCCTGCTGCCTGTCTCACCAAGACCCACTCCCAGTTCCCCACCCCCTACCCCCTGATTTTCTCAGCCCCTCCCCCAACCTGCAGTCCTCTCTTCAATTCCAGAGCGACCTCAGGCCACAATGCTCAGCCTTCTCTGGTGTCTGGTTCTGTCCTCCAAGGCCTGGCTGAGACCTGCGGCCCAAATCCTGTCTACACATGTGTCAACCTCCAGGCCAGAGGCTATTCAGATATCTAGGGATGTCTCAGCCAAAACGTGGCCACAGTCAGACTCTTGCTTGCCCCTGCAGAGTCACTCTCCCTGTCACAAGTCTGCTAAGGCGCAAAGCTGCTCCATGAAAGAACCACCTTGGAATAAATGTTTTGCATCAGTTAAAAAAGGAAGTCATAGCCAGGTGTGGCAGTACATGTTTACAATCCCAGCACTCGTGAGGCAGGATGATTGCAGTGAGTTCAAGGCCGGCCTGGACTACGAAGTGAGAACCTTTCTCAAAAAAAGAAAAGTCACTCTGCCCTGCACTTGACCATCTTGGGGTGGGGGCCCTCAACCCTACAGTCCCTCTGGTTTCTGGACACATCCTAGGACAACAGGCGGTCTGCAGAGGACCAAAGATACCAAACTGCAGCTTTTCCCAGATGCTCCCACGGCAAAGGCGGCCTTGGGAGCCTGACTCAGCCGGCGCAGTTTCGCACACAGCCATGTCAAGGCCCTTGCAAGGGCGACACCATCTGAAACCGCACACTGGCTCACCAACCCCAAGCCTACAAAGGTCCCCACTCTCACTGCCCTCTAGCACTTGGGCCCTGAGAGTGCAGAGAACACTGATCTTAGCAGGAAGGAGGACAGCACACCCCATCTTGGCTGGCACTCTGCAAATCCACTTTCTTTTTTTTTTTCAGGACCAAGGATCAAACCCAGGACCTTGCAGTTGCCAGGCAGGCACTTGTGCCACTGAGCTATATCTTCGGTCCTCTATCTTCTTTTGTGGCACTGGGGATTTAATCCAGAGCTTTTGCGTTGACCTACATCCCCAGCTCTCCTCTTTTTAAATTCTTTTAACTTTGAGACAGCGTTTCAAAGTTGCTAACTGCCCAGCCTTGTGATCCTCCCACCTCAGCTTCCCAGAGCACTGGGATTACAGGTGTGTGTGCCACCAGGCCGGCTCACTGCTGTCTTCTGAATATACTGCTGAGTTCTTCAAGTTTCACTTTCAAAGAACTGTGGCTGGGATGAAAGCAACATCTTGATTCCTCAGAACCTAGGTAGAAGGCTGGGCATGGTGGCACATGCCTATGATCCCAGCACTTGGGAGGCTGAGGCAGGAGGATCACTGCAAGTTCAGGTCAGTATGGGCTACATGGTGAGTTCAAGGCCAGCCTGAATGACATAGTGAGATCCTGTCTCAAAAAAACAAAACAAAACAAAACAAAAGAACGAACATAGCTCACCTTCCCCCCAGTATAGAGGGTTGGGGGGTCTGGACCTTTGAGAGGATGAGGAATTAAAGACAGACACCCAGGTTTAACAGAGGCCTGTGTGTAAGCCCTGGTGCAGGACCCACATCGACATTCATTCCTTCTCATCACCCAGCTACTGAGTCGAATCTCAACTCTACAGTGGAGGCGGACAGTCGGGGCTTCAGACTTGTGCCAGGGCCCAGCGATATGACAGAGGGAGCTGAGCACCACCGGGCCCACAGCTCCACAGCACGCCTCACGGCCATCCTGTGTGAGCAGAGGGAGCCCCTGACGGGGGGCTGCTTATTCCCAGGCACCCAGGGCAGGCAGGGTGGTGGGGGCAATCTAGGGTCAGCAACAACCCAAATGGGCACTGCATGAGCCTCCTCCAGCTCCGCATTTCCTGGTCCTGAAACAGAGATGGCCCAATAACTCCCCTGAAGGCTGCTGCTGGGGCTGAACAGGTGGAGAGATCCTGCCGAGGACTACCACACAAATGCTATGGCTGCCCCCTGCGAAAGGCCGGCACCTCAGGACACAGTGACCTCCTTCGCTGACAGCCACCAGGCTGCTGGGCATGGGCAGGGGCAACGCATGCGAAGGCCGAGGGCAAGCCTGACTCCTCCACAGCGCGCGAGGGCCTCCTCTCCGCTCCAAGCTGCTCCACACTCCACCAGTGCCCACCCCTGGGCACCAACCCCTGTCCAGCCCTGCCCCGCTTGGGTTCCCAGGCTGCTAGTGGCCTCTGGGTTCCCAGCTGCCCTCGCCCTCTTTGCTCTCAATAAATGGAACTCTGGCAGAGACAAGGTTTCTTGCGAGGCGGCTGGGACAGCAGAGATGTGGTATCACATGAGGCAGCCATGAGTCACATGTGGCTGCTTGAGTAGAAATTAATGAAAATTAAAACCACAACAGCTACGTTTTGAGAGCCACATGTGGCTCCTGGCTGTGGGACTGGACAGTATGGATGCCAAAACCTTACTGCACAAAGATCCACTGTGCGGACCTGCTCTGGTCTCTTCCAGTGTAAGCCAGGAGCTGCTGCTGAGCCCAAAAGGTGACAACTGGCCCTGATCTGGGTGCTACACCCAGCTCCTAAGGGGCTGCTGGGCCAGCCAGCCAGTCTCTGTCCAGCCCAGGGCAGCCAGAGAAGCCCAATTCAAGCCCAACACACAGAAAACCAGCAGCCAGGCGGCAAGGGTCTATGCCAAGCTAACCA